AAATATACTTGCTTATTGTTAGGCAAACTCTTTTAAGGATGTTAAAAGGCAGTTACGGAATTGATGTGCGTCGCCATGTTACATCTAACCAATGAGAAGCTTCTCCATGCAATTATAAGCATAACCCTTCAACGTCACGTGATAATACAAACCTGAGCGTCACTGAATTTCATATGTACTAAATGTAATCTCGAGAATGGTGGCTTCTGAGCGTGTACGTGACCTCAACGAGTACACAATTAGATTCGCCCGTCAAATTTATTAATAGTTAGGACATTTACGTTAAAAATACCAAACCCTACCAGTGTTTTTCCCATACCCTTTAAAGTTATGGTAGTTTCATCGAAATGCAATCTTATTAAAATTTAATTATTTTTTTATGATTATATTTTAAACAGATTGACCGAAATTGAATGTTTGAATGTTTAAGAATACAATAGAGATCATTATTACACACCATTAATTGTAGCTGTCTGGTGTAGATGTTTTTGAATGGATCTATCACCTCTGGCACAGTTCACAACACTTTTTCTGTTCTCGAATGCAAAGTAGCAGACGGATGTAGAACACGGACAGACATGAAACTGTACGAACTAAAACCATCCAGAGTTTATGATGGTCCGAAGGAGATAAAATGCCGAAGGATTGTGATTTCACATTTGGTATAAGCACGGTTTGCAAAATTGGACTTTGTTATAAATATGAGTATCATGGATTTTTCAGTACATGTTCAATGGCACCCATATACTCAGTTTTAGATCCAATGTGTCGAACGGTAAGTGTATAAGTGCCACTTTTATGTTGAAATTAGAGAGTGTCAAACTACCAATTGATCGAAATAGCTAGATCTAGCCACCAAAATGGTTATACTCATCCCACGATGCAATGCTTTTGTCAACACGATCGGTAACTCGGATTCGCTTTGACAATTTCGACTTCAAAGGATAGAGAAGCGCGTGCGTCATGGTCACTCAAAGCGTTGTAAAACTGCATGATTGGGTATCGAGCGGAACGTTAATTATGCACAAAGCAATTTCCACTCCACTTTGTGGTGATTATACTCAAAACGGATACACAATCTCTGTAAAATACTCACTCTAATTGCTAAAAAGCATATTTCAAACATATATAATATAAAAACATATCATCAGATAGTGTCAATTTGTAACGGACATCACCGAAATGCTGACACGGAAGGCATAGCATATACCCTTTACACCGACATTTTAAATAAAATAACTATGAAGTTGGGAAAGATGGCCGCGGAGTTGCGTTCGGATATCAAGAGGGATTACGGTAAAGATGTCAGCTTCATCGGGACCCCGGGCAAAATGTTAAATACTATACGTCGCCATCTTGAGGGAGTAAACTTCTCGCAGACGGCATCTCACTGAAGATTTGATGTGACGCTTCTAAGGTTCCCATCGCGTGACTGATTTCAACGACAGGATGACTATACTCGACCGTTATTTTTCATATCGCATTTCACGTGACATTTTGTGTCACTTTGCTCATATCATGCAATTATGTCTAAAACGATATTTCGGTGAGATTTGGGCATCTTTATGTGGTTATATTTAAAAAATAACAAAAAAAGAATATTCAATGCTGTTGTGCTCAGTGTGGGAAATATCGCGCGCAGCATTCTTTGTTTATTAATGCATCTCATGAATAAATTAAATGCCCACCGGTTTTACGGTTGTGCTCATGGAAAGCTAGTCCTGGCGCGTTTCAACCCTTGGGATATTTTACTATAATAGGGCGTGTGTACATCGCGCGTTAAAATTTGCATATAACATTAGCGCGTAACAAAGTTGTGATAAAGGAAAGAGTGGTATAAAAAAGGATCAGTGATTACTTGAAATCGATACCAGGAAGGGGGGCTAAAAAAAAGTTTATTATTTAATAATTTATTAAAATACATAAGTTTGTCCAACTCCCTGTGGTTATCCGACGTGCTATGAACGCGTCACCCTAACGCGCCAAAAACGCGTCATCTGACGTGCTAACAACGCGTCTCCTGGCGTGGTAAGAAAGCGTAAATTATGAGAAAACAACACGTGATCTGGCGTGGTAACAGCGGAACACCATAGCGTGCTAACAACGCGTCATATGGCGTCGAGCAATGTGAGCAATGTGTGATCTGACATTCTGTCTGTCCGGCAATAAAATATAATACACATATCAAAAAGGATGGCGATAAGGCAATTACTGTCTTATGTATTTACACAATTAGTCTCGTCAATATGAGACGCCATGTTGAAACATTTCAAGAGTAATTCACAAAAAAAAAAACGTGACAAATATAAAATGAATTTATTTGATTTATTCAGTTATGCATGAAAAGGTCAATTTTGTATTGATTTGCAGCGTATACAGCGAATGATTTTCACGTCTGGCGATGTAAATATCGCAGAAATCACCAGCAATATAATAAAATAAGCACATATTGGTAAAAACAACCTCTAATTGAGATAGCAATGCAACTTAATGAGGATAAACCCAATGAGTCCTTTTATATCTGCTTAGCAGTAATATATATGCAGTACGTACGTGAGGGTTAAACCGATATTATAAATGTTAGTGTGATTGGACCAACAAAACATTTTAAATAAATGGCTTAGTTTCGCTACTGTTATTGATTTTTTTATTCCTAATTATCGAGAAATTTACTTTTACCGAAGATAATATAATTATAAAGCGAGTCAAGCCATGCTTATTGGGCAGTTAAAAACTAGTAGTATCAGATCGTCCCAAGCCATGATCAACATTTTGTAGAGCTGGAAGGAAACGTTATTTTGTGCTGGCTTTGGAGGTTGCAACTGCTTGAATTTTATTCCATTGAAGTGAATTATAGCTATCGGAATTCGCTCTTATCACGCGGCGACCGTTGCTGATCACTTGCGTTCCTAGTTTTATCGTTGAATTCAGTTGACGGGACGTATCGTCGTCGAAACCGTACGTATCGTAATGTGTTGCAGGGAACCACCATTTTTATTTATCCTCGATCGTATCTAACGAGTTCTAATTACCAAAACTGCCCTTCAACTATTTACACGACCTTACCGCAAGTAATTGTTCATTTAAAATACCGTAATATACAGTCGTTTTTGGTTTGAGTTTGCATTAGTTACATTTAAACCAAATCAGAACGAGGAAGCAGTTCGTGACGTCACCGAACGGAATAACACGCGCCATAAATCCACAAATAGACTATTTACAACACGTTTTCCAGAGTAAATTGCTTGATTGTACATTTCGGAAACGTTCTGCGCCGTGGGACGTGTTTCAATAACTGTCGCCTATACGGTAAATTATTGAAAAGGGTAAGATAACTGAAAGTAATGAAACAAATGTCTAATAAATAAACTCATAACTTAATGTAATTTCTTCACATAATTAAGATTAATAACTGTGGTTAATTATTTCGTGTTCTAGTTTGTAGATAATCCATTATACTATCGCGCTGGTCGTCGATTCCACGGAGTCTACGTCTTTCGTAAGGTGTGTACTAGTACATGTCTCGCCCAGATAACTGCTTGAATATTTTATGTCATGACTCGTGGGGAGACGAGACAATTTGATAAATTGTAACTATCGATTACAAAAAAACAAACAAACAAAAGACACCGGACATGACATGATCACATTGTCATCTAATGACAAATGTCAGTTTCAGTTCGTAAGTCTGTCCCGGAGTTTCTTGTTGTAATACAGAAATAACAAGCGCACAATACGATAAATGTGTGCTGCCAATTTAATCACTGAACTCTTGTTACCAAGAGAAGTGGTGTTTCTCGTAACATTGTGGCTAACGCAGAGTATGCACTTCCGGCACATGTCCTTACGGATATTTCTAAGATTTTGTAGCAAATGCAATTGTGTAACAAGACGTTTTACTCAACTCGGGGGACTGTTAGTGAAATGGCACACAAATCAAATATACATATGCGTGACAACAAGGACACCCTACGGTGGTACCAATCAAAGTTCGAGTCGCAGAACGTCAGCTTCACACTACTGGTTCTATTTTATCTACCCCAAATTCCTCAATTATAAATCGCCATAGATTAAATAAATGAATTAATATATAAATAAATTAATTAATAAATAACAGCGTAGTATACGTTATCATGTTATAAAACACAGAGTTCTGCGCAGTGCCATATCAATTACCAGATCAATCATTTGCTATTGACACTGGTATCGGGTGTTTTTTTTAATTTTAGTGTGCAGATAATTGTGAAAATAGTGGCCGTCTTCATATATTCATAAAAAAACTCTCCACACACAATGCATTATGGGTAAACAACTGTTATATTTCGCTACACAAATCCGAACATTATTCGCAAATGGACGCCGAAATCTCATTAAAACCGAGAGAGTCAGGTGACCCCTCCTCCCGACAAATGTCTCTTTCTCTACCGTCTACTGTTTCAAATATCACGGTTACCATAGTCACGAGAACAGTGAACGCGATTTCGATAGAAAATGGAACATCATTTCGGGTGCAAAAACAAGTCACGTGACTCTCGATCTCAGCGAGATCTCGACGACCATTGGACGATGCGCCATGTGAAACAATTCATCATTTTATCTAAACAAGTATTACAACCCCGTATCGTCGTAACTTGGAGTTTTGTTTATCTTGCACTGTCACCATCCAGCCTATAAATACCGTGGTTAAACAAATTACGAAAACAAGGCTTTAAATTAAACCCATTCCCAAAAGTGATATAAATGTTCATGCACAATACCTAGATTTATTTATTTTAGCTCGAGTATGTTCCGAGTGCATCAATGCATGTCACGAGACAGGATTTGAAATTATGATTGTCGAACGAGGATGTGGAGGAGTTGACATAGCATCATCTCCTCGCTCCAACACTAACGTATCAGTGGGCATAATCGATAGCTGTAAACAACATGAGCGCTAACAGTAATCCTACTCGGGTTCTTTTATATCTATACGTCGTATTTATTCTGGTATTTTGTAACAGGGCACAAAATAACACAACTGACTACATCAGTGAGGCAGGCAATGTACTGGACAGCATTATGTTGAATTATGACAAGAGATTTCGACCAAATATGAAAGGTACAGTATACATGTTTTTTTTTCATTATAATTACTATTGTATTTCATTCTATTGTTTTATTATGTGCATAAACTGAATCAAATCACCGCCACTTTCAATACCGATAATTGCATTGCCATTATTAGCAGAATATCTCCCACTGAAAATTGCGATCACCATGAAAATTTATAAAATCCGTTGGTTTGTCGACAAATCCTGAAATATCAGAGCACTGAAACAGGCTTGAATGTCATTGTGTTTCAAGTTATTCACAATAGCAAACATAATTGCTTTGCTGTTATCACTCAAGGCCACTTCATTTTATTATTTGAAGTTTTTTTTTTAATTCGATTGAAATAATTTCCATGGACTGAACAAAATACGCAGTCCCTGTGATGCTCACAAGGGGTCAGTGAGAGGTTATCTGCGATTCATAAAAAGTAGAAATGCAATTTTAACGTGTCTGTGTACAATTGCCCATTCTATTAACGTCAGCTACATCAGACGTACACTCGACGCAAATGGTGACACAGTAATTTAAAAAAAAACTGCGTCGTCAAAATTAGCAAACATGTGGCGATGCATTCTCAACTCCAACCAGTCTATGCACTGTAATTCTGCGACTGACATATACGGGCGCAGTTTATACGGGTAACACACTTTGCGGATATTGAGTGAATTGTAACTGGAAGTTATTCAGACATAGATAATCTACACACACAGATGTCAATGCTAAGTGAACCATTAGTGATGTCTAGTTTTATTTCTAATAGATTGCTTTAGAGAAACACCGAGAATAGGAGACACGTTCCAAGCAAATCTATCTTACCTTGATGCGCTATTGAAATCAGCATTACTAGACGTACTTATGTGACACAAATAGATTTTGCAATTCTAGTTGATGTATATCCGGCCAAGGATTATTGGATTCATACTATTTAGTACAATTCTGAAAACACAAGTTTGCTATAAAGACATATTTTGACATTTTACTGACCTCATGGACTCCAATCCGCTCAACGCAACTTCATCGTATAATTCGTGTCAACAGACAAGCTCTATGAATTCATAATATAATGTTTTCTATTTCTGTTGAAATTCTGATACCCGAGCTTACCCAGTATAAATTGCAATGGATTTTTGAATCGACGATCATTAAGTCTTAAAGCAGAAGGGTCGTCAACTGCGCACGCGCGATAATTGAACAACGCACGCTAACAAAGAAAAGATTCACGGGTAGACGCGTGTTTGTAAACAACGACACGCTATGGCCGTCTGCCGTATGCACAGGGGACGACCCCGCCGCTTTAAATGGAACACATCGATGTTTGGCACGATGGGTGTCAGTATTGATGGTTGATGCAGAACGGTATAAATCTCCTTTCCAATTAAAATGTTTCTAAAACTATACCCATGTTTATTTATTTATCAAAGCTGGTATATGTTTATAAATATACTGTACGTTAATATGCACACTATGTGGTAAACATTCAGGACATCGTTTCTATGTGCTATGCGGTAGAGCAGCATTCCCCTGCAACTACTTACAATTTGAACAGCAGGGATAATTAGAATATAGCAATAGTTTGTTACGGATGAAAACCATTCGCCACTTTACACCCCTACTAGTGCAAAAATACTTACTACATCCACAACGACGCACTTATACAAATATGAACGATTAGAGAACAATTCAGTTTTGTTATTAATTGTGAAATGTCAGAACAGCACAGTCAGTCGTACGGGAGCGGTACGTTACTTTATGTACCCAATTGTAATTTAATTTAAAAACAACGTTTTTCTCTTAGGTCCCCCTGTTATTATCACCCTCAACTTGTTCATCAGTAGTTTTGACTCTGTCACCGAATCGACCATGGTAAGTAATCACTTAAGCAATGTATGTCGGACAATTTGAAACAGTCGATTGTTCTCACCGGTTGATGCGTTTGTGTCTGGCTTTTAGCGAGGATATTCAGGCCATCGATTGTTAATACGGTTTGTAAAGAAAGCCACAGAGACATCTATATTATGCTTCTATAATTATTGATGTGACTTTCTCTTACACATTTACGCTCTCTAGTAGGAGACTGTGCGGATGATGGGACATAGTTTGCACAATGGGTGATACCACTCGCGTTCTTCGTTTTGGTTGGAGCTTAAGAGAGCTAACATGAATTATTGTAACATTAAAGCTTTTGAACGTTTTCGTAACGTTTTTCCATTCCCGTTATACATGACACATATGTTTGCACTTGTTATATTATATGCGCAAACAAAGTATATACAATGAATGACATTTTATTGTTTGCAAATAGAACCATTCATATAAATGTGCACTGCACTATCCTGATATATACGGTTACTTTAAATAGCTACGACGCGACTTCCATGCCAGATGTGTGAAACAACGGACATACAATACATAATTCCAGGTGGTGTGAGCTGATTTCTAAACAACACATAATCATGTTTTTAAGAGGAATGAAAGAACATATCGCATTAAGATTAATCTAATAACGTGATTTATGTTTATCAATTTATAATAAAATATTAAATACCACATTGACAGTGCATGTTGTAAATTATTACCAGAATATCAACATATGCATTTGAACCGATAATCAAATTCATATACTTCGTCAGCTGCAGAAAACTAAACATAACAATATAATTTCGGCCACATACCTTTTTTTTTTAGAATATATACAATTTTAAAATACGTAGGGTTGTTTTGAAAACAAACAGCAGCTCAACTGCGAAATACGTTTACCCAAGACATTGACTAGAGGAAAATAAAAATGAATTTGAAGAAAAAAGTCCTTCCGTCTAGATAATGGTGTATAGTGTTTACCTAGACCGAAGGACTACTGTTCTTCTTTAAATCATTATAACAAATATTATGTTAAAAACATAAATGTATGATTTGTTTTTATCGTGCACTTCAAGATACTTGAATGGAAACCCATAACTTGACAGTATAACTTGCGCTAAAATATGACAACATTAGTATATAATGTCAAATATATGGAAAGTAAAAACAAACATTATTGATTTAGCGATGGACATTGGTGATGATACAGATGACATCGCTGTTTCGAATCACAAATAAAAATGTATTTCAATTTATCCGAATATCTCTACCCTTGTGTATGAAAGCTCAACACCTCATAATCAAAACGGGCATATTTGTTAACTATATTCTATATTTGTTTAATTCTATCGTATCATATTAAATGTCAGACAATGTGTAGAAGCACGGATACAACTCGATATAATTTCAAATGAATGATGTCTCTGATGCGCATCTCGAAATTAAATATGCTAAGAACAACCGGAACATAAATACAGATTTAAGCACCACTGTTGAATTCGCGTTGAACAGATAGTTGTTATAATACAGTTTTGTGAGACTTAGTGAGAGATATTGCGACTCGGGTTAGTGAATAAGTGAGTTTCTTTTTTTTAACTTGACCCGCACAATTCATATCTACTTGAAGAAATAAAACATAATTCTAATTTCAATTTTTTCATTAATGCATGTAAATACGAAGCATAGTATACGGAGCATAAAGTTGAAATCGACACAGTCGTCGGTCATCGCGCGTTCCAATTTTACGTGCGTTCTAAACGCTACACAACTCCACGTGACGACTGCGCTTTATTTGAATTACTTGTTTATTACACTATACTCCAATCCCTACATATCATTGTTGCTAATTGATTACATGACGTCATCTAATCTCATGTTCTTTCTTTTAGGATTACGGTGTATTGATATTTCTCCGAGAACAATGGAACGATCCTCGTTTGCAATTCAACGACACAGACCCCATGGTTATGCATGGCGATGCAGCCACAAACCTTTGGAAACCCGATCTTTACTTTTCGAACGAAAAATCTGGGCATTTACACGACGTCACTACAGAGAACAGGCTTCTACGTATTCATCCAAATGGCGATATATTATTGAGCTCAAGGTAAGATGACATTTTTTTGGCAATAAGCATGAAGGATTGCTTTCGTTTTCATCGAATAATAATCTCTATTCAATTTAACTGATATTTAGGTCTGTAAGGAAGTTTCAATGCCAGGCAGACATCCCATAAACACACTGATAGACATTTGCAACGCATTAACAGTTAAATCATTATGCGCAACACGCGAGTTCCACATTATGATACGGATGGTCGTTGTTCCGGCTGACAATAATTACAACGATAAAATAAGGCTTATATCACCGAAACACATCATGTCCAAGGGTGTTGACGTCATTACTTTAGATATTCTATCCAAAATAGCCAATACACTGGTAAAATACATCTCTGACTGAATAATTCATGTTCATACAGCCAATCACATGCTGTGAATAATTAACTCCATTTGTACAACTCAGCCAATCACATGCTGTGAATAATTAAGCCAATCACATGCTGTGAATAATATACCGTCATATTATTGTGTAATATTTTTATTCTATTTTCTGCAATTTATCATAATTTACTTTCAAATTCTGTATGTTCACACTAGGTAATTTCGCATTAAATATATAGAGTTGTCACTTTTATTTTTAATTTCCCATCGTAGTCTCGTCCGTATGTTATTTAATATAGATTAAAAGATTAAATTAAAATCAACGTAACATTATATTATCCTTACTAGAAGTAATTATGAATGCAAAGTATATCAAGTATCACGTAGTATTATCAAAACGCACAGTTGTGATATAGATTTGCTGTGCTGTATCCTTGGGCAGTCGTCGTATCAAGTTATGCCACGATATGGGCCGTATCGCTTGCTTATGCATAATTTACTGCGAGTTTTAGTTACTAATACTATCTATGAGATTTGGTCCATTGCAAACACGTGATCTAGCCTAAATACGTTGAGACTGTGCAATGCCGTAATTTATACAGCGGATTAATCGTGAATTCATAACGATTATTTACGTGCATTTAAACCAGTCAGTCGTAGATATATCCTAAAATACGCATAGTTAATTTATTCGCACAAACACACAGTGTTTCACAGGTTATCTATAGTTTCAATAGCAAATGGCCGCAAACGAAGGGGAAACTACTTGCTTGACAATTTAAAGATGAGATGGATTTTTTTAACCACGCTATTTGATGACATTACAGACACACCATACTATGTATGTCCAGAAAGCTGGATAAGGCAGCTTATCAAAAATGCGGTTAATTTATTTAATTCTTGAAGTGAACTTGATTTTTCGATGAAAAATAAATCTAACCTTAACACTTTTCAACCGTTTTTGTGTTTATGTGTTCGTGTAAACAAACAATGCATTTTACACACGTACGCGTTTTATACGTCGATATGAACGCAATGCGACGACCTTAGCGCTTTAACTTGTGTCATTCAACCCATCCTCCCACGACGATCAAATGTGTCAGAAAAAATCGGAAATAAATCGACATTTGATATTTTACACATTAAATGACACTTTTTAAAGATCTTTATGTTTATTCACATTCTACTGTTTGAGGTGAAACACAAGATAATTGATATTTGAATTTTTTGCAACAATCGAAGAAGTTGAAGGCGTGGAAAGTATTTGAAATTGAATTTCTTGTTGAGTGGTCAGAAATGAACATAAAATGTGCTCATTTGCATTGTGTACCATAATTGCCATATACATTGTTTTGAAACAAATCTAACACCTATTTCGATAATGTTTATAATATCTAGTCAAAAGTTATGTACATGTATATTAAAATATGTGGAGATCTTCCTTGCATAGATAGATGTTTATTTTCACCCCTTATTTATTTATTTATTTATTTATTTATTTATTTATTTATTTATTTATTTATTTATTTATTTATTTATTTATTTATTTATTTATTTATTTATTTATTTATTTATTTATTTATTTATTTATTTATTTAATCACATTCGGCTATGTAATTAGAGCCATGAAAATCCAAATAAAACAAAAATCGTTAAAAGAAGTATTTCCTACCCGAGTATGTTCCATTGAAAATAACGTTCAAATTGTCACTGCTTTATAACAATAATGTGTACTCTTCAAACTCTTGCACAACTAATAACAACTTGTTGGTCGTTTTAAGAGTTAACAATCTATTTTACATCATTTTCTATACATGCTATAATAGTATATACCATTTGAGCACCCATTACTAGTAGTCAGTTTTATTATATGTCTCTATTTCTAAATACCCACAATGCTCAAGTTCCTCTATTGTAAGTTTCTATTCAAGCAATAGGATGAAGGAATAAATATGATGGGATAGGTAAATGGGTTTCTTGTCTCGATATCACTAAATTATTAACAACAGTATGTATTATATATATTTTTAGGTACAGTCTGACGCTATCCTGTTACATGGATTTCAAGAAATTCCCCCTGGATGACCAAGTGTGCGGCATGACTATGGAAAGCTGTAAGTATATAGAAATACATAAAGATGTATATTTATAAAACGCTTATAACGATTATACAGATTTCTGTCCTTCACTGTATAAATACTGAATTTTCAACGACGCCATATTGGATGAGAAGTGGTTTTATACAAGATAGTGCGCGATCCACAGTGTAACACGGTGGATTTATGTTCCAATCCACAAATGCATTGCCTAGTGTTAGTCTGGGACATTTAAGGGTCATTTGTTTCAGTGTCACGTGGTATTTTTGTCCGAACTCGTCATCGTTATCCGCCATTTTGTTCACCTTGTTCATAGGTGGTTGTCGTAAAACAACTAATATACTCCTCCAGGTATTCATTTGACATAACAGCAAGTGTTTGCAGGTCCACGCTTCACTTATAGTAACGTTAACTCACGGAAATACGAAGTCGCATTGTACAAATTTGCATAAAGATGTACCACTATCATTTCCCGTCATACACGAAATTTGAGCGTTAATGAAATAATCCAAAAAAAATTATACAATGACTTGTATATTATCTGCACTCCTGGAAAAGTACGTTCTTCGTATGGGGGGGGGGGCACTACTAGCACTATCATAACAGGAGTGCTTTCATGCCGTCATTACTTCAAAACCCAAACCCTAGATTTTCATTTCACAGAGCGCGAAGACAATAATGTTTACACCTGGCAACTGACGACTATTTGCCTGAATGTATATAGTAAACGTGCATTAATTAAAACGGCCGAAGAATTATCAACAAATATTACATTTTATGAGACAAAAAAAGGTTAATTTGTTAAATTGTCAATGTCAATTTCAATCAGTGGAAATAGTAAATAAAATAGTTATCGGCATGTATGTATGGACAGAATACAAACGTTGTGTAAAATGATATAACCGAGTTTAGAGAACTATAATAGGAAACATGCATTCTGTGCAATGTGAGTGGAAAGTACCGTTTTGCCCATTTTTCTAATTAAATGTTTTTTTCATTAGGAATATCAGGTTATTATTTTCAACATATGTATCTTAGATTAGGTGGTAAACTCGCCGTACATACAAAACCATGATTTATGGTTGTAACAACGAACGACCATGCTGTTTGCACACAAGAATAAAATCAGTTTACTTGTACAAGATATTTTTTTTCAATAAAATAAATACACCAATGTATGTAGCATGCCTTAGGGAGCTATTCGTGTGATTTTCAAAAAAAAAAAAATGTGAAAAGTGCCCAAAAAACTATTCTGCTACCTTAATATGCCAATAAACAACTATCAAATTAATTAAACACGAAATTTGTGATATAAACACAGTCAACAGTAAAATTACATCTAACATAAATTTACGAATTCCAGACCGCTTGCAACTAATCATGTTTTTGAATATATTTATATTGTTATTACTCATGTATGTACAATACTATTTGAGTAAATTTACAGTTACTATTCGTTATCGCTATGTGTAAACAAGGACATTGTTCGAATCATGTTTGTTCATTACTGTCGTGTACATAACAACATCCGCTGTGCAATGAAACGGAATAAATCTGCACAAGTAAACTTGTAACAAAATAAACAAATATTAAAAACACAAAGAAGCCGATGCACCAGTAGTCACGTGCGACTCGATCTATATCACGGTTTGTCGATTTCGCAGGACAAGTACGTTTGGTTGTGAATCTGAACATCAAGTGAAAACAAAGAAAAGTGTTTGATGCTGTGAAACTGGTATACTCAGAGTAGTTATAAAGTAGACAAGGTGTTGCCTTATTACCGAACGCAAATATTTCCACCATATGACCCGGGCCACAACCATTGGGTGTTTATTTTTAAAACAATCGTGTCACCACATATATGTATTATTTAAAGAATAAGAGAACAGCCATAAAAATAAATAAATAAAAACACACGTAGAAACGTACGAGTTTTGCATTTGTTTCCGTGACTAGTGTGAACATTAATAAAATATACAAGTCTTTCCTCTGTCTTGGTCAGTAATTAAAACGAGATCGTGTTGATAAATCTTGGCGCCGCTGATGTAACGTTTCCTACTTGTTATTATTATTATTATTTGTCAACGTGGTGGCGCACACACTATCGGACGCACAATACCTCTATTGAGGCGACAATTTCAAATTTCGGTTTTACGTAAGTGGGAATAACAACACGCCTGGGGGTTATCCAAATCCGTAGTAAAAAGGAAATTGACAAATCCAATAAAACAAACAAAATGATGACACACAATTAAGAAGAACATGGTTCCCATGGTATACATAAAATAATGTCATGTGATTCAATTAGAATGAACACATCCGGCCCCGCATGTGGCGCGCGCTATTTTTCATACATAATTAATTTGTTTATGTTTTAAACCTGAGATCCACACTAGACATTGAAGCTATCTGATAGCAGCTTTGTCTTATCGTGTCAGTGTTATCGTATTTAACCACAGGCTATTTGTATATCTCAAGACAGAGCTGTATATAGATCATTAAGGATATTCTCTCTCTACAAAACCTTTTTTGAAAAATAATTTTCACGGAAGAGTACAATTTTTCTACAAAAATGTCAGCACATACACTTCATATTAAGATATGAAACATATATAAGGAATGGGGATATTGATGACGTAAATAATAATAATAGTCTGGTACATAGCTGAGCAGTAGCTAGGAGTCAAATTAAAGGCACATATCTAAATATGAAACGGAAGAAACACAATTCTGCAGTATCCCCAATCTCTAGTTCAGCATGGTATATCATAATTATTGAATTTAGGATTGTTGATACTATCAACAATTTCCGAATGTGAAATTAAAAAAAAAGATTTTTGTATCTTCTATTTTTGACCTATTTCGGCAGTAATCAGCAACTCGAACGTTTTTTTGAGCCAAATTAAATAATGCGTGAGACCAGTTATTCAGCCAACCTGTTGTATGCGATATACCCCATGCGCAAAATGGCCGCCAAGATCTCGTTTAGAGCGAGAGAGCCAAAGAATGTCTCCCTCTCAAATAGTGTTCCATTCTTCCCTGTCAATGCATTCACTGTTGCAGGTCACGCAGCTCATTGGAACATTAGAAGCGATAAGTATCGGATGCTTGGATACAGGAGAACATTTTTTAAACATTTATATGCTTCATTGCGGGCTATGTTGTACATAATGACCAGTAAAAGCATTACTTTTCATGATCTTATTCTTCGATTGTTTGCTTGTATAGATGGATATACGACAGATGATTTATTATTTTTATGGGACGAGCCAGACCCAGTACAAATGGAGGACAATCTGACATTGCCCCAGTATGTAATACAAAAGACGACTACGGAAAACTGCACAAAATCATATATAACAGGTAAGAGTATGTATTTTGCTGTTACGCTTATTAAATATGATAATGACATTGGGTTAGAAAATACGATCGTAAAACGGTCGGAAATAATAATTATGACTGCAGAATACTGAATGCCTTTTGCGAACTCCGTATACTTGGCCTGGTTTTAGTTATAAACCGACGTTAGCTCCACGTTCATGTCGTATACTATGCCAACAGCCAAAAACATGTTGCTTGCTTGTTTTTTTTTGAGCGGAGCGGATCGCCAACCAGTCTACCGGCTTGTTAAACTGTGGGTTTGTTTTCCGTTTGTAATAACGACAATGCGGTATGTATGCGCGCGTGTAAGCTTTGTTCAGTATGCCATGTTTACAACTGTGAATTGCCTTTCCCGTTGGTGAAAATAGAAGTATCCGTTGCGTCTCCGTAGGTGATTAAAAAAATGGTTATCGCATTTCTGATGGTTCTAGTCGTATAGTAATAAAACAATTGAATGCGTTCTCGGTGGTAGTTTCAAGTATACATACTGTTTCTCAAAGGTTTTTAACAAAATTTAGTGGTCGCGATTCGGTTGATATATTTACCAATTCAGATTGTGTTCGATGGTAACGATCGACGTATGTCTTTTTTAGTGACAAATTCTCACGTACAACAATTTCCCGATGGTAATAACAAAAACCGATATTACTCAAACTGCTCGCGTAATTTGACGCCACCCTCGGGAGATTTATTTATCATATATCTCGCACCTTCGTACATGCTTTAGTTTAAATAATAAGTGGATGAATTTTAATTCAACGAGCCTCATTCGAACTTCCGAGAACGCATCGACCGACTCGTAGCGGATACGATCGTCGTACTGCCTTCGTGCGTACTTTGCGGTATTTCAGTAATAATGGAATGATTCAACGTTACTTCATAATTACATAACATCATCATTGTTACTTCATAATTACATAATTCGATATTACGTTTATTCATATTACAGGATCTTTTACGTGTCTTCAAGTTCTATTTTTCTTGCATCGTGACGTTGGCTATTACATATTGCAAGCATACCTCCCCAGTATTCTGTTAGTGGTATTGTCATGGGTGGCGTTTTGGATTACGTACGATGCAGCACCTGCCAGGGTAGCGTTGGGCGTTACGACCATCCTCACTATGACAACGCTTGACTCTGGTATCAGGGCGACACTGCCCAAAGTGGCATATGCGAAGGTATGAACGCCATGAGTGAAAGTATTGCGTTATAAGGGCAAAAGTAGTCAAGACAACCTCACTTTAGACTCTAAATATCGTCATATAATTTAGCTGCATTTTATTCAGTTGCTTTTGATTAGTTTGAAAATATATAGACTGACTGACATAAAGATGAATTTAATTTATCCAATACCACCTTCTATCGTTTCCTTTTTTCAGGCAATTGATATCTGGATGGCAGTTTGCCAAGTTTTCGTCTTCAGTGCCTTAGTGGAGTTTGCTGTGGTCAATTACGTTCACGTACTCAGAACAAAAAGAAGACAGGAACTTATCCAACAACAACAAGACAAACCCAAGCTTGATCACAAAGCAAAGGCAAAAGTAATATCATATGTCGTAATCGTATTTGACCAAGAATTTAGGATTTCCAAATACTTGTACTAGTAGTCCGCATTTAAATACTGTGTTCTGTTTCGAAGTAGCATTAAACGAGATTGAAATGAGTTTGCCACCAATCTTCCGCTGTGAAGATATAATAATGTTTATTTTTGAATTTTCAATTTGCAGGATAATTATGGATACGAGCCAGATGAGGACGGGAAAGATAATGTCAGACAGAGAGCCTCAATAGAAACTGCGAACCGCAAAATGACATTCAGAGAAGCAGTGTTAAAAGTAACAGAACTACAGAATGGTGATCTTAGTCACAGAGACTTAGAGGCCCGTGATTTCTTCGTTGACGCCAAATTTATAGATAGGCTATCCCAAATCTGTTTCCCAATTGCTTTCGCTATTTTTAACCTTGCATATTGGATTACATTTTTTTTGTTTGTACGATGACTTCGACGGAATAGTTCGAATGAACACGCAATGATAAAGTATTACTCAGTGAGATGGTTTCTCGCGCGATACATGACAAACAGACGATATCTATACGTCATATTCATGGACTTCTGAAGATGGATAAACAATCAGGAGGTTTTCTTCAGCTCGATTGCACTTGACATACTTTCAACAAGTTGACGGTCTGCTTAAGTATACCTAATCTTTCTACGCATGTATATCACCATAAAACAGGATTCTATCACTATATGCCTCTACGTGGTGTTTGCCTTATGCAACAAGGAATCGGGAATGCATTCAGGACACTGTAATCAGTGCCAGTGAAACAGCGCCACCAAATTCGAAAGCAAGAACATTTTCGATGCGTTCGGAAACACGGATCGGCATCTCATATTGAAATTTGTCGAAGATGCGATTCAGAAAGCATACATGCATTTACACACATGGAGTCGAAACTTCAGTAGTAATGACACACACTGTATACGATGTGTTCCAATTAATGCGCTAGCAGGAACTATTTTATTTTTTGAGGGAGAAATATTTTGCTGAAAATTAACCCACCAGACGAAAATGTATATGGAAATAATTTGTTTGTGTAATGTAGGTTTATTCACAGGGTATATTCGTGATAACAGTTCGGGAATATCCACGATTGTATTGAACGCGCCATCGTAATATCATGATAATTGAGACAGAAGGGAGAATTTTATATCTTGTAGTCGTATCAAACAATGATACTAACTGCACAACATTTCCCGAACAAAATAATATTAGGTCTGAATGCGAACACACTTTATTCCTCACAAAACAAATAAAATATGGTACTCGCCAACTACAACAGATACTGAATTCGAAGGAAAGACCAGGATATCGTTACCACGCCATCAACGACCACATGATCAATGCTGATACCCGACTGCGCCATCAGCGTCTGTATGACTGAAATACTTTCACGCCTTCAACAATCGTATAACAATGCTGTTTCACTACCACGTCATCAACGACAAAGAACGAATACTGATACGTCACCACTCTATCGAACGAACGTGTGAACAATATTGAATCCCACTGACTTCTACGCAATTATCGGCCATATAAACAATATATGCTGATTTCATGACCACGCCATCAACGACGGCATGATCAATTCTGATTACATAACCGCGGCATCAACGAACACAAGATCAATGCTATTTCTTAACCACGCCACCAACGACGACAAGATCAATGCTGATTCCCCTAACACGTCACTGACCATATGTTCAATACCGATTCTTTAACCACGTCATTAACAGTATAACAATATGACCAGCGCCAAAAACGCAAGAGAGCGTCTCTCAAATTGTGAATAATCATTGTCACCCTGAAAGCAGCAATAGTATAAATGCTTTGTACAGAATAACTGCCTATTATTTACAAAACAACAACAACAACAACGGTTTATATTCCCCGGGGTATGTTTGTAAATAGATATTTCATATAAATCATATTTATGTTTATTTTATTTTGAACACAATTTTCACATGTTTTTTTGTAAGCATTATTCATTGAAAAATCATATCCAAATAACTTACCATAGTAACGGGTTATTCAGATTGATTTTAATTACAATAAATTAAGTCACAAAACCAGCAATGTTGTATAAAAGTGTGATATAATTGCACGGGATTGTAATAAGTAATAACAATCAATTGTAGTCTTGTGTATGGAGTTTGATTGAAAACAGATTGAGGTGTCGTAATATAGATATAATGTCACTTTGTCGTGAGTATAATAATTAATAATTTAGTCGTCACAAACGTATACACGCATGCGCATAAATCCACTTGCACTACATAATTACAGTTCATCGAAATATTCGAAATGACAGTCATTTTGCATTACATAAAATACTTGAAAAAATGAGTGGCACTTCATTGAAATTCGTACTGTAAATAAAATGTTTGTTATTGAAAATCACGAATTGTAAGTTAAAGAATTTGCTTCAAACATTTTAAGGCCAGACTTTTTATATCCCTTGTTTCGCGAACCCGCTGAATGAACAGGAGCCAAAAATGAAATAAAAATAAAATTTTATTTCAGCGTAATTTCTCGCGCCAGCCGACTTGTAAGTGCAAAAAAATGCTAAAAAAAATGTTATCTTCATTTTTTTCCGCCCGCCGCATAACAAACCCAAGTTGCATTTTCGTAGGAGTATCATGATTAAAGTACCGAAGTCTCGCGCAGATTATTTCATTTCTTCTCTCCGATCAATGATCTCACTTACAATTCTTTGAGAATCACACAAATCTAATGGAAACAAAGAATTAATTTTTTTTTGCCCTCCTCAAAAAAATTGCCTTATAAAAACTCGAGAAACAAGGAATAAAAAAAGTCTGGCCTAATTATCCGGGCAATTAAATATGGTTAATAGCTCATAACTGTTGAGTATCCCAACTTTGATATTCTATTCTGACGTCATAGTGCTCTACTAATATGATCTACTGCAATACTCTGCTATACTAAACCATACTTGCTGCGATATCTCATGAGGCACCATACTTGCTGCGATATCTCATGAGGCACCATACTTGCTGCGATATCTCATGAGGCACCATACTTGCTGCGATATCTCATGAGGCACCATACTTGCTGCGATATCTCATGAGGCACCATACTTGCTGCGATATCTCATGAGGCACCATACCATTTTAGGTATTCCACTCGTATAACTTGGTTAAAAACCTTACGCCAATGCCAACACTGGTAGCCTACTCTAATAAGTTAATATGATTCCCTACACTGATAACTTGATGTGGTTCCTACTTTGACCTTGATTTAATACCCAACTTTGATACCTTGATTTGATATCCGACTTTACTACCTTGATATGATACCCTACTCTGACCTTGGTTTGATATCCTATTTTGATACCTTGACATAGAACCCTACTTTGATACCTTGATATGATACCCTACTCTGACCTTGATATGATACCCTACTTTGATACCTTGATATGATACCCTACTCTGACCTTGATATGATACCCTACTTTGATACTTTGATATGATATCCTACATTGATACCTTGATATAATAATATACTCTGATACTCTGATGTGCTAACCTACTCTGATAACATGATGTTATAACCTGTTCTGATAACTCGATATGATAACCTGATTTGATACCTTGATATGATACCCTACTCTGACCTTGATATGATACCCTACTTTGATACCTTGATATGACACCCTACTCTGACCTTGATATGATACCCTACTTTGATACTTTGATATGATATCCTACATTGATACCTTGATATAATAATATACTCTGATACTCTGATGTGCTAACCTACTCTGATAACAAGATGTTATAACCTGTTCTGATAACTCGATATGATAACCTGATTTGATACCTTGATACGATACCTTACTCTGACCTTGATTTGATACCATACTCTGATCTTGATATGATATGATACTATACTTTGGAACCATGATAATAATACCATTCTCCGATACCTTGATATGATACACTACTCTGATACCTTGATATGATACACTACTCTAATACCTTGTTATGATACCCCAATTTGAGATCTTGATTCGATAAACCACTTTGATACCTTGATATGATGCCCTACTTTGATACCTTGATATGATATCCTATTTCAATACCTTGATAGGATACCCGATTTTGATACCTTGATATGATACCCTACTATAATACTTTGATATCATAGGCTACTCTGACACCTTACAATTATATCTTACTCTGATACTTTGATGTGATGCCCTATTTTGATACCTTGATATGATACCCTACTCTGACCTTGATTTAATACCCTACTCTGACCTTGATTTGATACTCTACTCTGATACCTTGATGTGAATGCCTACTGTGATACTTGATTAAAATACCTACCCTGATACCTTGATGTGATAACCTCATCTGATACTTTGATATGATACCATTGATATGATATGGTATCCAACTGCGATACCTTGATACGGTACCTACTTTGATACCTTGATATGATAGCCTAATTTTATACCTTGATATAATATCCTACTCTAATACCTTGATATCATACCCTAGTCTGATACCTTGATATGATACCCTACACTAATACATTGATATGATACCCTATTTTGATACCTTGATATCATACCCTAGTCTGATACCTTGATATGATACCCTACACTAATACATTGATATGATACCCTATTTTGATACCTTGATATCATACCCTAGTCTGATACATTGATATGATACCCTATTTTGATACCTTGATATCATACCCTAGTCTGATACATTGATATGATACCCTATTTTGATACCTTGATATCATACCCTAGTCTGATACCTTGATATGATAACCTACTGAGACGTGGATTTTACATTCTAGGCATACTGAACAAGATATTATTTGCGGCGCTATTTACATTTACATCATTCGTGTACATTTACATTATGTGAATCCATTTTTCATCCCAAAAGAACTATGAGTTGCTTAATACAGGAGAATGCCAAGAACAATAAAACCTTATCATAATTAATCATTGAATTCTTTTAGCGTGCACTCGCAATGACGTTATACTGGAGACAGTCCAAGTTGGCTCTAAAGTAGTAGGAACATTTCAAGATATATTAAACACGTTGAAATTAAAGCGGTAGAGTCGTCACCTGCGCATGCGTCAGATGGCCATAGCGAGTCATTGTTGACAAGCAAGCGTCTACCCATGAACCTTTGCGTTTTTAGCGTGAGTTGTTATCGTCGCTTGGGACTCAATTCCCGCGCGTGCGCAGGTGACGGCCCTTCCGCTTTAACCGACGGTGATTTATACAATTTAGTTTTTTCTGAATTCATGAGTACTAGTGCCATCGAGTTACATTGTTTACTACAATATCAACATACATTACGTACAGAGGGTGTTTGTGATTGGTGTTAAGACATCACGTGGTTGATATAATTGCATCTAACACAGATAGATCAACCAATAAAACACATTAAACACCATAAATGTGATAGGAAATACAATTCGACTGTAATAATCAATACGTTGTGGTCTTACGTGACATATAACATCATACTGATTGGATTTGCTCACAGAGGTTTCAAAATCCGATTCGGTGCTAGGGTTTTTGCTTACTGCTCGGTTTACCTACAGAAAATCAAATAAATAAGCGTTTGTCACTCAAAACATAGAAAACTCACAATACGTTTACCTTATTTTTTCTATAATTTTGATCGAAATCTGTCGTCACAGAAGAAGTATGCTCATTTGTTTCAAAAATATATCAATAAAATTATAGAAAAATACTAACAAATGAGCAGTATATTGCACGCAAAATTTCACACGAAGAATTAAACCTTCAGTTTGTGTAACCGAACGAATAATTGACTGATAATTTTAGTTGTTGAGATTATGTAATGATCCAAACAGTTTTTTAACATACTGAAATATACTATTGCGTATGAAGAGAGAACCAAATTATTAAGACAAGAGATATTTTTCACACTAAGTGTATGTGTTGGTGAACAAGTAGGGGTTATGCACATTTCACATTCATGTAATATCATTAAAAAAATAATATTTAAAAAACGAATCATGCTGTTCGAAACATCAACAGATATTTCAATAACCTAGTAGGTGATGATGATTTACAAAACTGTCTCCAGTTAAACATACCATTTCTAGTGATTGTTCATTTTGATTTTGCATTTTAATCTTCAAACTAATAAAGTTAACAGCGGCGTATTCTACTAGGGCTGCGAATACGAAGACGAGACATGATGACATCCACACATCCGAAGCCTGAAATAAAAATTTAGATTTTGATAAGTAGAAAACAAAAAGCACAGTAGTGACCATAATATGGTAAATCTAGATGTTTTAGAAGTCAGCGATGTTGTAGTGACTTGAATTGCCAGAAATCTACAGATAAAATAAAACACACACACACACACGCGCAAAAAAAAAAACAAACGTATGATTACAAGAGAACACAGAAGATAATTCATTTATATATTGCTCTACTGTTCAGTTTACCTTCATATGCGCTATGTTTGGTGCCTTAGCCTGAATTCCATTCATCTGTGTACACAATGTCAACAGTGCCATCATCACGAGTGACACACGGGCCGGTTCACAGTTCGGGTTGATCCAAAATGAAAACCACGATACTATGACAATCAATGTGCTTGGAACATAAGCGGACATGATAAAAATCTCTTGCTGTCTTCGTAATCTGAGTTTGGCTATAAGGTACGAGAAATTACCTGCGGTAAAACAATAAAGCACATGTTCTTTTTTTATTTCCAACACACTGTAGATAAGTATGTATATGTCAAATTATAAATTCGTATTATAGTACTGGTCAATACTGTAACACTCACATAACGATAATATAACATATGGAAATGACGCAACGTAAATTTCAATCTAATATTCTAATGATCGAATTACCGGTTGCATAGTGTCTTGTTGTTCGGGATCTGTCTGGCTCCATATCTTTAAATGTAAATTGTGGTAATGATATTCCCTCCTGCACTCCCAAAGCTTCAAGATCATCGTCCTCTGGTGCCCATTGCAGAATCAAGTCATCAGTTGTATAAGTAACTTGGAAAATATGCATAATATGAATGAATTGATAATTAGGTGATCTTACCCCTTCGTTCTACAATATCCACCATATATATTGAATATGATTTACTTAATATTGCCATATGCCGTCTACGAACATATAATCAACAAATAAGTATAACTGTCGGAGTGTAATACTCACAGCTTTCTATTTCCATATTGCATGTCTGTTCATCCATTGGATAGCGTTCTAATTTCATCATGCATCCCAATTTTATCGTAAATCTGCCAAAATAAACACATTTATTTTAACATATTTTTTTTAATTTGATTTAATTTCGTTTTAATTATATAAACACACAACACACAGAAGATTGCATTACATAGTAGTGAATAGAGAGAAATATAAAAGAAAAGATAGGAAAGAATAAAAGATGAATAAATACAAATTCGATCTGGTATATCATTTAATTATATTTGTCCAATATTTATCCAATTATCTTGTGGTTCCCATTTCTGTTAATATATGAGTTCTTTGTTTTCTAATTCAATATTTCTATTTTCCCTGACCCAACTTTAATATGCGTATTTTGTTAGATAAATCTTTTGATTATTTTCCAGTTATACAGTTTTACATTAGTTGTTAGGACTCTTTAAATAATTTTGTATTGGAATCTAAGATCTGTGGAAGTTGTTGTCTTGAAAGGTAATTTGAAAATCACATTATAACCACTTTGTTTAATCCTATACAATTGTCGGAGATTTTTTGCTATGTTTGGTTATTCAATGTTTATACACCTTGTTGCTAGTCAGTGTAATTTTAACATACTTAGATTTCCATTTGACTTTATTTTGAAAACAGACCACTCATTGGTATTAGCATGAATGTTCTCCTATCATCAGTTATTGCAGATATTAGAAAGATGAAATAGATCACTTTTACCCTTCAATATTGACAGTCATGAAAGTTTCCATAGAAATTAATTAAATATATAATTCTTAGTAGTTTTTTTCTTGCCTACGAACTTTTCAGATATATTGTACGATAGACAATTTTTAAAAATATATTTTATATTTCTATCAATTTCAGATGTTGTATGATTTAAAGATGACCATCCCCGCATAATATCATAGTAAATGGGTGGAATTTTATTTTCAATTCGATTTCGTCGTAGTAGCCCCAAAACACAACTTTTTAAAAAAAAAAAAAACACTTTAATATATCCTTCCATCCGGCTTGACTTCCAGAAACAAACCATCTAACCCACATAATCTGCTGTGCTTTAGAAAAGAGTCCATTTCAATCATATTTAACCCACCCTTTTCAATATCTGAAATAAGGGTGTTGCTTTTTAATTTTATACTTTCTATCCCATTTCAATTAAAATTGTAAATAATAATATTGTTTTTTTTTATAATTGATTTTGACATTAATTGATATTAAATATATGAATTGGGAAATGATCTGTATGTTTTCAATTATAACGCGAGATCTCGCAGTGCACAGCGTGCTCCTACTAAAGAGATATATACAACGACGCGTGATATAGATTTGACGAATCGCAGTACAGTATGAGTGTGGGATGTAAGATAACAGGAAATGGGGAATTATACACACATTGCATATATACTAAGTTACCGGAATCCTACCTTGCGCTATGCAGAACAGTTCCATCAGGGTAAATCCTTAGCAGAATATTCTCCGTAGTCAGTTTATGGAAGTGTCCAGACTTCTCATCTGGGTAAAAGAGCGGTGGTACCCAGACTTCTTTTACTCCATCCGAATGTAATGTTATTGTGTGGTTTGGAGCACCATTATATTGTAATCTAGGATCGTTCCAACGTGTGCGCAGAAATATTGTAGTTGTATAATCCTAGGAAAAAGACAAAGTAGTACCGTCGTTGGAATTTTACTTATTGACGTTTGAATATTCATGCTTGTACATTTCGGCTTCAACAAACGCATACTGTATATTCTAAAACAATGATATTTATATTTATATTATACTGATACTCACCATTCCTTTATCTGTGGATGAATAGAAGTTATTAATATGGATGCTTGTCGTTACAATCACTGGTGGTCCTGTAGTAAAGAGAAAACATAACGCGTATACATCTGAACCGAACAGTAATAAAACAATATGTTTTAGACATTGTGAAATTCATTTGTTTTTATGAAAACAAAGTAAGTAAAATCATATTTATTGTAGTTATTGTTCATACATGAGTTGTTGAACACACTACATAGTTTGTAATTCAGCTTCTTCTGTCATAATTCATAAAAATAATTTTCTGTAATATTCGTGTGTGATCGGTAATATTCGTGTAAAAGTTCTCATATTTTCCAGTCTGTCGATTATGTCAGCAGAGAATTCCAATTCAAATTCAACTTCGAGCAAACAAATCTATGGAACATGTTTGCTATATGTTACAAACGATGTCAGCATGTAAATTCAGGTTCAAAATCAAATCACTTGCTTTTGCAACATACGTTAGCCCTCCTATTTCACGCTCCATGCAAGATTTCGTAGTGAACGGAAAATAAACTTTTATGCACATACCAAATTCCCAGATGAACGTGTGATATTGTGCACATGGCTTAAACCATTTGGGTTAGGTATAACAGTTGTTTAACAAAAAGTTGCATTCGTCATTGAGCGTTATGGCTAAAACGAAATTAAATAATCAACCAAATATATTTTGTGGAGCATGAATCTGACAGTGTAATGGGATAGTTAGAAGGCGTTACATTGCTTTATCTGTTGCTAGACAACCAATGGTTGCTTAGCAACCCAGTTGTGCCTGGTAATTGTAACCACGTTTTGGTCTATACTGAATGAAAGAAGTAGCTGGGAAAAACAAACAAACATCAAAACATCCATATTAAATGTCAACATGTTCATATCGACGTGGTTTAACAATCTGTCATTCATTCCTGCTTGCAGCTATATTTATTATTTTTAAAATAATAATCCTAAGCCATAATATCTGTTTTCTAGTATACATTTTTTAGTAAACATAGAATTTTAGGAATTCAAATGTGCTAGTCTGTAATATATACGCATTTACTGCTAGCTTATTATGATAATACGAATGAAAATATTTACTTGTTAGCTGGTCAAGCATCAACGTTATTTAATTATGACTAGTATTATCTGGTCATGTGATTTCACTAATTATGTGCATGTCTAATTCCCAGAGATTCTAGTACTTAACCTACATTTATTTTGTTATATTTAGATTTTAAATTACTGTAAAAATTTAGATGTGTTCGTGGGTATTTGATATTCATTGATCCTGATTGTAAAACTGTACATATCTCGTGACTTAATATTGAATATTGGTGAATAGTAACCACAGCATCGTGTATATTCTATTAGTATACATCTGTCACTGTAAGCGTGTCGTCAGTTCGCGTTATTACACTGGGTATTTCCATCCTACCATATTAGGAAACGCGCATTCCAAATATGGAAAGATTACGCGAGTAAGCGTCCTCTAATAATAATAACAAATATGGCTGCCCCCAGGGTTGACCGCACCACACAAAGAAGTTCGCGAAATCTGTTTTTAACGTTTTGGTTCCGTGGAGCTCCGCCGATTGCACTAATTAGCTTTCAATTAGGTCATCCGGAAACTTATTTTCTTCTGTCCGAATGCGAGCAGGTTCAACTAAAAAAAATGTAACTGCCAAACTGTGTTTGAAAAAAATGAATCGTTGCGTAGATATGATGTTATGAATTACGGCGTTATATAATCCAATTATTACTATAATTGTACCTGAGAATATTTGTAAGTTGCGGGCATAATGGTATATGTTATACTGCGTACTGTTTACCGCTGATCCAGCGTTTTATCAAAATTTCAAATTTGCATAGTCACGATGTTACAATTTACGGCGTTATATAATCCCATTGTTACTATAATTATATATGTGAATATTTGCAGAATGCGGACGCAATGGTAATTTCTTTGCAAACTGCGTACCGACGATTCAGCGTTTTATCAAAGTTGCGTAGTTACGATGTTATGAATGTTTATGAATATTAAAGACTGTTAATCTAATTAATTTTATTATTCCGGTTAATTCTTGATAGTCTGTTGAAGTGTGTATGTGAAAAGTGAGTTTAATATGAACGAAATCTCGGTAAATATTGAGAATTATTGAATTTGCTATCAGTGATTACTGATTTCACAGTCCCTCTATCTCCGGTCTGAAAACGGCTATTGTCTAAGGTATGAATTACCATCATTGCTCGGACAGCCCGGGGTATGGCTTTCCGCAAAGCATAGTCTCCTGATAGCAGAGCATTCCGTTGAAACAAACGATTCATTATTCCCTGCATATTCCAGTTTTTACAACCGAAAAAGACATTTTTATACTTTATATAAATTTAGAAGCTCAACACAATTCTTTAGACGTCAGGTCTTTCTATAGTTGAGTATTGACATTATTGTTCGTGAATATCACACTTAAATTTGAGGTACTCTGTCAGGGATCGCAACTTAGAACACTTCTAACAACCTTGACCGGTTGGCCCCTTCTATTCGTCATGTGTTTTTCAGAAAGACCGATGTTTTTTTTTTCATTTATTGAATAGCTCAAACCTAGTTGTAGTTGCTGGATCTGTTTATTGTGCTTGTATTATTATATTATATACAGTATACGTAAGATATTTAGGCATTCACTTTTTCCGTTCAAAATAAAGATAGCCTCTCGCCGATTCATTGCCATTCAAATTTTCGTGCCATTATTTTTGTTTTCATGCATATACTTTGAATGTAGTTTACAATGCTAGTGATTCCATGTCTCTAAGAATAACATCCTGCAGTATCAATTCTTTAGCACTACCAGGAAGACTTTTTACTGCCCCGATGAGAATTTATTTACGGGCGCAATTTTGTTTTTGATTTACTGAACTTACTTGACGCGTTGTCAACGGGTTTACCCTTTTATAGTAAGAAAACAGCATTCAACTATAATATTCATTTTGAACACATAAACAAACTTATCTTGCATAAAGTTTCTAGTTGTCTGCAATTCTAGTTTTCTGTTCTTTCATATGTGTGTGTGTATAACGCACCTGCACATCGACAAATGTGGTCATTATTGCGTTACTTGGAGAAAGTCATTGACAGGTAATTGAACTTCTAACTAAGATTTAGCAGTTCCGTTTTGTCGTCAAAGTATGAGTTTTTATTTCAGTGCGATCCACTAAAGTTCGTTTTTATTTGGAAATAATTGATTTTATTCAAATCACAGTAAGATGTTGTAATAAAAGTCTTCCGATGTTTTACGTTTTACGTGACATAGCAAATATTTTCGGCTCGTGAACTCTACGCAAATACGTTCATGAGTATTTTTACGTGAATTTAACTGACACGTATTTTGACTTCTGATCCCGATTTTGCATCATGATGGACGCATAGTTCTGTTATGTCGGCGAAGCACGCATTTTTATTGCAGCGCGATCCACAATAATTCTTTTTTATTATTGGGAAATAATTGTTTACATTAAAATAGTGCTAGCTATAACGCAAGTTGTCAGCTGTTTACAGTGGTAAAGCAACGTAACACATCAAATATTTACAGCCAGCAATTTTGGGAAATCGACACTTTGAAATAGGTCAGCAGAAACCTTTATACTACGATATCATTAACAATGCATACACGTACGAGCATTCATGTTTTTTTTATTTATTTTTTTAGTTAGTTGTTTTTATAAAGCAATTAATGTTGTTTTAGAGTTAAACAATGGGTTTTCAATTTGTTCCAGTCAGCTCTAGAAAAGGAGGCTCTGCACTGACTGTCAGCTCGGGAATATTCTTACATAAATTTGCATTTTGCTCGGAGCTATTTTGAGTTCAATTAATTTTCTAAGTAAATCGACCTTGAATCAGCAACATTCAACATTTGTCCACAGTTGAAGTAGCTTTACAAGTTATACGCGTACCTGGAATGCAATTGTCGTCAATGCACGAACAACACCTAGTCTCACCTTCCATTTCAAAGAAAATAAGTTGGTGTATCATGTGTATGAACAAATAGTTTAATCTAGTGGCCTAAACTGACGAGAAAGATATTTGCTGGTAGTTTCATTACTGTGTTGATATCATATGACCTAGGCAACATGCGATAATTATAGCTAATGAATTATGAATACCGGGCAGTCGACTGTGAAAGAACAATATTATTATACAGCTTCGGATGTATATGTTACAGCGTAAACAGTTTCGCCCACAAATGTTCGAGAAATGTGCATGTATTTATTGAATATTTGCATACATTTGAACTAATTCCGCCGACCTGAAACGAAACCATCTCGCGTGTCAATTCAAACAATTATATTTAGAACCAGCATGGTGATCAAATTGATTTACGACGTCACATTGGGTTCATCGCTATTATTATCAGCATTATTTCCCGTAGATCTCGCGATGAAATCATTAATAATATAGCATACAATATTTCGTATTAACTATACGCCTAAAATATTATATTTTCCGGGGATGCATTCTAAAGAAAACATATATGATACACAAGGGTCAAAACTTACCTTCCATGTTTGGTCTTAAGATCTTGTCATAGCCTGTTAACAGGTCACTTATTCCTCTTCTTGTAGTGGCATTTTCCGTTAAAACTGCGTCGCTAAAGAAATATATAACCACTGAAATGTCACATAGAAATAAATAAAAACAACAATTATAGACACCTTGCTCTGCAATCAGTATTCATATTTACCATTTACTAGACTGTATCAATGTTTTTTTTGTTTTATTCGCAGCTTACAAATGTTAAAAACAGTGATCGTAATCGAACGAATGTAGAGAGGTTTTGGAACGTTTGTTTACAGAGCATCTGATATTTCTTGCTCATATTTTAGTGTGAGTTCACGATGACGGAAAAAAAATGTTAGTTTGTAACGCAGTGATGCAACTTAATTTCAGTCGCTCACTACATTGTTTCAACGTCGGATGTAAACAAAGAAAAAAGTGTTCGAAGGTAGCGAAAATATATCGCATATTTTACAAATGAGGAAGACATTCAAACGTGATCTTAGCATTTATTATTGGCGGTATTATGAACAGGGGTAAATATAAATCTTACCAGTACAGGAGAATGACTAGTAGCAGGTACACGTTATACACCATGGTCGGTATGATATCTAGGTATGTTATGGTAATTTGATCCTACCAGCAAATACAAAAAGGTCAAGTGCATGTAAGCGTTTCGTTCTAGGTCACGTAATCTATATGGGTTGATAATACAGGGATGGACATGCCGTAGTAACGCAGTTTTGCGGAAAAATATGAATCAACAATTTAGTATCAACTATGTCAAAACTGAAGGAATTAAGTTTAGCTGAATTTGTTTATTTCTTGTGCTACATTTTTACTCTGTAGCGCCGAGCTGAGTCTGATGATGGTGTTTAAAACGAATTTCAAAATTAATCTGCACCAAATTGTATGAATGTTCGAAAGTGTTTGTTAAATCTGTTACTTTGCGAGGATTTCATAAGATTTCAAACTCAAATGCGGATGTTTATATGATGTTGTTTTCAGTTCAGCAACTAATACATTCGTATATTATAAGAGCCGAAATGCACAATGAGAACATGACTGAGTGTAGTACTTACCGTGAACGTTGTTTATCAATGGCCAGTACATTGGAAGTAACGTGACTTTATACAATAATTAATATTTGCATATGATGAAATATTAATAAGATGTATGTCTTGTCGGACTAGTCATTAAATATGGCTATTAATAATACAGATATTTATTATAGACATCTTTCACTGCGATCAGTGTTTATATATACCATTTACTAGACTGTTTTAATGTTTGTTCGTTCGCAGCTTACGAAGGTTAAAAACAGTGATCGTAATCGAACGAGTGTAGGAGGTTTTGGAACGTTTGTTTACAGAACATGTGACGTTTATTGCTCTTATTATAGTGTGATGAGTCCACGATGCCTGAAACAAATTGTTAGTTTGCAGTTATGCGACTTAATTTCAGTCACTCACTACATTGTTTCTACGTACGATGTAAACAAAGAAAAAAGTGTTCGAAGGTAGCGAAAATATATCGCATATTTTACAAATGAGGAAGACATTCAAACGTGATCTTAGCACTTATTATTGGCGGTATTATGAACAGGGGTAAAGATAAATCTTACATGTACAGGATAATTACTAGTAGCAGATACACGTTATAACGTCATGGTCGGTATGATATCTAGGTGACCCTACCAGCAAATACAAAAAGGTCAAGTGCATGTAAGCGTTTCATTCTAGGTCAAGTAATCTATATGGATTGATAATACAGGGATGGATATGCCGTAGTAACGCAGTTTTGCGGAAAAATATGAATCAACAATTTGGTATCAACTATGTCAAAACTGAACAAATTGCGTTTAGTTTAATTTGTATATTTCTTGTGCTACATTTGTACTCTGTAGCGCCGAGCTGAGTCTGATGATGTTGTTTAAAATGAATTTCAAAATTAATCTGCACCAAATTGTATCAATGTTCGAAAGGATTTGTTCAATATGTTACTTTGCGAGGATTTCATAATATTTCAATCTCAAATGCGGATGTTTATATGATGTTGTTTTTCAGTTCAGCAACTAATACATTCGTATATTATAAGAGCCGAAATGTACAATAGGAACATGACTGAGTGTGGTACTTACCGTGAACGTTGTTTATCAATGGCCAGAACATTGGAAGTAACGTGACTTCATACAATAACTAATATTTGCATATGATGAAATATTAATAAGATGTATGTCTTGTCGGACTAGTCATTAAGTATGGTTATTAATAATACAGATAATTATTGAGTTGCCAGTAAAGAGATGTGTACATCATGCATTTCACCAAACTAACATCGTTGAAAAATACTGAATAATCGTCATAAAGGTCGTACTACGTACTACAACAAAATGTTACTGAACATAGGATATATATGTACAGATAAATTTAGGTTATTCGGCCCGCACAAGTAAACGGCCTAGTTTCGAGGACGGGAAGATTTGATGATTTTATGTTGTATAGTAATGGCTGGTAGTATTTTTACATGACCAGCTTTAGATTGTATCGCTTGGTGGCCGGGTCATGGTTTTCAAGAAAGCCACACATTTGTTGGCAACTACTAAGAAATATTGACATTTAAAAAAAATTACGTGTTTAATACAACTTACCATTCAATTTGTTTGAATACCCTATAATTAGTTGACATATTTATATAACATTTCAATTACCGTGAAATTATATTACTAATTCAATATTTATATTGTGTCGTCACGCCATGGTATTAATAACCAAGAATAATTAAATGGGTCATAAATGTAAATTCACAACCAAATCACGCTGCAAGCAGCCACGCAGGTGTTACGAGTTACATTATCACTACAATTACAGTATAATTTAGCCTGTTAGGCACGGTGGTGATGACCAAGTACAATAAGTGTTTTCCACAATTAACGTATACTTTACAAACACCACATACCTATAAAACAATGGGAGGATAGAGCATTTTCTGTTCTGTTTATTTATCATTCAAAACAGACACCAAAGCTCACGGTAATAATGATATGCTTTGCTGATATATACTACAAACTATCTGTCAAATGATATGTTGAGCAGTCTGTGATTTTTGAACATTTTGTGAGTTTCTAATTTGACAACTGATCTATGCGAGCTATTATACAACTTATCAAATGCACATATGTATAAGCTAATTGTGTGAATAATGTCGGCGTTAGTGGTTGAAGAAAACGATTTATTGATCAGCTTAATAAATCAAATGTGATTGAACAGTGTATTTTCGACCGTCTACAAATAAAAAGTAATACACCATTTATGTTTACATTAGGGAGGTGATCAAACCCAAACCAGCGGTTTCCGGCCGGTATCCGCGCAGATCCAAGGAGCTCCGCCGATTTCACTAATTTTAATTAGGTCACTCAATTAGGCATCTCTTCTGTTCGAATACGAGCAGGTTCAACTAGAATATATAACTGCCAAACGTCTGTGATTGAAAAATTTATAGAGACGAAATTCCCGTCCTGTTATAGAATTTCAATTTGTGTTAGTACCCGAGCGTCCAAGTCAACGAAAACGTCTTAATTATATTCACGCAGTTAGTTCTCGATGCTTTGATGGTTTCTCCAGAAAAATTAATCGTTGCGTTGTCATGATGTTATGATATATGGCGTTATATAATCCCATTGTTACTATAATTATAGCTGTGAATATTTGCAGAATGCGGGCATAATGGTATATTTTATACTCTGGAAATTGTGTACCGCCGATCCAGCGTTTTATCAAATTTGCGTATTTACAATGTTATGAATAATAAAGAGTGCTAATCTACATTTTATTATTCCGGTTAATGTTTGATAGTCTGCTGAAGTGTGTTTGTAAAAGGTGAGTTTAATATCAACGAAATCTCAGTAAATATTGAGAATTATTAAATTTGCATTACTGATATCACACGCCATCTATCTTTGGTCTAGAAACGGCTATTGTTCAAGGTGTTAACCCCCCCCCCCCCACACGCACACACACACACATCTCGGGGCTCAGACTCAGACGGTCCGGGGTATGGCTTTCTGCGAAGCAGAGCATTCTGTTGAAACGATCGATTCTTTGTTTCCTGCATATTCTAGCTTTTACAACCGTAAAAGACCATACATTTTGATACTTTATAACAATTTAATGACTAACACAATTCTTTAGCCGGCAAGTCTTTCTACAGGTAGCATATTGACATTATTATTCGTAAATATCGCACTTAAATTTGAGGTACTCTGTCAGGGATCGCAACTCTTCTAAAAAACCCTTTTATTCGTCATGTGTTGAATGTGTGGAAATTTATTGGATAGCTTAAACCTAGTTGATCGGTTTATTGTGTTTTATGATATCTCGCCGATTTATTGCTTTTTTCGTGTCATTATTTTTGTTTTCAAGCATATATTTGGAATGCAGTTTACAATGCTGGTGACATCATGTCTCTAAGAATAACATCTTGCAGTATAAATTCTTTAGCACTGCCAGGAATTGAGTAGGCAGACTTTTTATTGCCCCGATGGGAATTTATCAAATCGTGCGTTAACCATAGTAAGCAGCGTGTATCAGCTCTTATACCTGTGCAGACGTGATACACCTTTAGAAAACTACTAGTGTTAAACGTAAACACACGTAAATGTAACAAGAAAGACAAATATTGTACGGTGGAATGTCAATGCAAATTGTGGAAAACCTGTGCAGCCTGTTGCAGAATTGTACTATAATTTGTCTAATATCATCATAAAAACGGAAACTCATAGAAAAAAGTTCGGGTTTGCCTATAACGTAGTTTCTGTTCAAAGTCAATCCCCACTACATGTTGTTTTAACCTATTGATTTTAAAATTGGCGTAAAATGTGTATGCCGTTGGACTATATGGTGTAGAAAATAACAAAAGGAACGCAAGCGTTGATCAAAAAACAGGAAATGTTAGGCAAATATAATGCTGAATTATAGAAATCTTGTAAGTCTGTACGAATTTAATAGACATGCATTTATAGAACCTCGTAAAGTTGGGTTTGTCACTTATCAGGAAAGCGTTGTAGCTATAGGTCTGATTGTCCTTATTTAGGCTAGCTAACACGATAGAAGTAATGATAGCATATAATAAAACGCATTTTAACATAAATAGTAGAAGTAGAAATAATAATATTTATTTCAAATGACATCCGTAAGTATTGTATCATGTGATTAAATATTCACGAAGATGTTTGATTCAGTAAATGAAATAAGTGAAAAAAATAGGGACAAACGTTTTTTGTTTTTGTTTTTTTTGGGGGGGGGATAACAATAAATCACACGAAGTAACGCCAATGGGGTTGACAATGTTTTCAACACATGTGCACGTGGTCCACATTTGAGTAATCGTGACAGGTAAAATTATATGGTGTTAGCTTGCGGGAGAAATCGATCATAGATAGTGATTTCGAGGTGAGTTTAGTCATTTGTATGCGAAATGTTCGCTATAATGAGTAATTACGATTGGAGAACACGATTTTTTCGAGTAATTGCAATGTAAATTATAGTTACCATCATATCCACCGGCCGTGCCAGTCAAGGCCACCGACCGGCGTTTTTAAACAGTTCGTTGACTCGTACTCGACGCAAGAGCGATACGTTGGTCCGACTTTGTACTGACATGGCGGTTAATACATGAATTGATCTAACTATTGTCTTATCTGTTTTTTGAGCAGTCCAGGTTCTCTCGCTATCGGTGTCACCCTGACACCCGGTTACTCGTGTATTCACGCGTTAACACGTCGTGCATGTGTATGTGATACGGCAATATTGCTTATAATGACCGTGAAGTTTACCCTTTTACCTCCTTGACGCAATTGTAAATTAATAATGTTTCATCCATTCTTTAATCTTTGAATTCTGAAATGTGTAAGTGTAATGAAAAAACAACTCGATGGCCAATATCACATAACATTGAATGAAAATGGATATTACATCGTATATTGCCCACTAAGTGAATATTACATGGGTATATCACATTGGTGACTTCACTGAAACTACTGCGCAACGATACTGCGCATAACAAACTGTAGTTCGCTACCCTTCTGATGCCCTGGCCGCTGTTGCTTTCGGGAT